AAAAAAAAAAAAAAAATTAAAAATCGGAAAAGAAAAAAACAAAGGAAAAGATGTTGAATTTTGTCAAATGCTTTTTCCACATATAATGGGTCAGTCTAAGTTTTTTTAAATCTGAAAGGTGACAGGCTATGTAATCATGTATGTAGAAACTCCTTCCCTAGTACTCCCTCCCTCGTCTCCCAGCTGCAGACCGCTGAGGCTCAACTGGAAGAATCGAACAGGCTCTTCCCAGAAAGATCTCCTGGACTTTTTCTTAGAAGGGCCACTCCAACAGACTCTGACTCCATCCCTTTTCAAACATCTTTCCCTGCTCTGAGGTCGCCAAAGTTTCAGCTTATCACAGCACCAATGCCCATTGCAAAGAACATGTGATTTATTGGAGAACAACTTGTCATCAACAGCACTGATTCAAAGAACAAAACAGATGAAAAAAACAAAAGCAAACATTCTGACCCTCTGGAGTGAGATCTCCTGAATTCATACAGCTCAATCTGTAAGTGTCCAAGGTCCAGGGGGCAGGTTCTCAAGCAGGAAGCCTCAGGCACTCTGGCTCTGTGAGGACCTCCCCTGGACATCTGCTCGAGAATCTGGAGAAGGGACATTGTCAGGGCAGGTCCTTTCCGCAGATGTCCCGCTGGGAGCCCAGCCTAACCAAGACCTGGTCCCTGTGCTCCTGACCTTCACTCAAGGTCAAGGAGAGGGCACTTGACCCAACTCTGCCAGCAAGGCAAATTAGATGGTGATTCAAGTAGTGTGGTCCCAGGAGGGAGGGTGGGGGCAGAGAAGAACAAATGCATTAGGAGTCCTGGGCAGTGTCTGCTGGGTCCCAGGCAGTGGCCCAAGGTTGTGAAGGGGTTGCAGGAGGGGCTGAATCACCAGCTGACCAGTCCTGGGGAGAGGGTGACCCAGGCCGGCAGGAAGCAGCATGTCTCTGCCTCATCATGGAGGTCTTGGAGTCAGCCCAGCTGTCTTCCCACCCTTACACTCAGTTACAGTACAGAACTCAGAGCCTGCCTGGCCAGGACCTGCTCGATAACCAAGCAGGTCCTAGAAGCACGGGGAGAAGAGGCTGACTTTGATCTTGGAAAATCAAGAGGATCTTGTCTCCAACTCCTTTCTACCTTCCCACACCCACCCTTCATCCCAGAGCCACTTGCCAATGTGCAATACGTAGCCAGGAGTCTGAATAAATAGTCTCCCAAATACTGTGCTTTAGGGGAGTAGGAGACAGAAAGGCAGGTGCAGAAATCCAAGGAAAAGCCTGGTAGAAGAGCCACCTGAGGAAGCCGTTCGTAGCTCACAGCCGGGCCTGGGAGGGCAGAGAGAAGTCCTGCCCACCAGACTCAGTAGGCTCTGAGGGTAGGAGGGCTGCTGGGGCCTGGCTCCGCCAGCCAGTCTGGAGGACGAGGGTCCTCACTATGGCATCTGGCTTCCGGACACAAACCTTGTACAGGGAGGGAGGTGACTTGGTGAGAACTGGGAGTGGCCAGCTGCCCCTGCTCAAGGTACACATGCCCCGCCCTGGGGAAGGCTCAGGCAGGGGCCAGAGAAGGCCCTGCACCTCCCTCAGCCCACAGTGGGTGGAAGGGCACACAGAGGCGCAGACATGGCCCCCCTGGAACTGGCAGGACCCATGGCCTTTGAGCTTAGCTACCCTGGCCCCAGAGAGGCTTCCTCGGGCCCTACTTGCACTTTGTGGGACCTTCCCCCATCCTGGGTTGGGATCTGGAAGGCAAGGGAATGACAACTCTTCTGGGTTCTGAACGTGGGCAGCTCCTCTTCCTTCTCCCTCCCTGGGCAGAAAGCAGGAGCAGGAGGCTCAAAGCTTTGTCCTTTCTCAGCAGCATTTGGTTTCCAAGATTTCTGTCATGGGGAATGAGTTCAGAACCCTCTAAGTGAGGCACGGAGGACTCCTCCCAGTCAAGGGGACCCGGGATTCCGGGGCTGGGGGATGGGAACATGAGGCAAAGGCCAGGCTTGACCTCCAGGGGCCTTGCTGGATCAGTCTCCTCATTCTGTCTCCCAGGCTCAGGGGAGCAGAGGGATGTGGGGAGAGGAGGCGGCTCAGGATAAGGCACCCCAACAGAGAAGGACAGGGAGAAAAATGAAGAGGAACCATGGAGCAAGACACAGCCCCACGCAGGAAGGAGGCAGAAGGACACAGGCGGAGAGGTAGAGACAGAGAAGGGGAGGCCGGGAGACCTGGAGGACTGAGAGATGCTCACATACATGGGGAGGAGACAGCTGGGGACTCGGGCCCATGTCCACACCAACCAAGTACAGACACCTGTGGGTAAGACAGACGGCGGGACTCTGCTTTTGGTGTCGCCTTCCCTGTGGAGCAGCCAAAGCGCCCCACCCAGAAGCGGTTTCTGGCCCACTGGCCAAATACCTCCCCTGACTGGCACCCAGGAGAAGACCAGAAGCAGGAACCAAGGCTGGGGCGGCAGGGCCGAGGCAGGGAGGGGCCCCTGCCAGCCTCCCAGTGCCAGAAGCGGCCCTGGCCCAGGAAGGACAACTTCCCGATCTCCAGCCCTGCTCAGTATCCTAGGCAAAGAGGCCAGGGTGCAGGGCAGGTGGAGCGCTGGGCATAGTGATGGAGGAAGGAGCATAGTACAGTGTGCCCCCAGCGGGCGCAGCCTGGGTCTCAGGCCAATCCTGCGGCTTCCCCTCAGGCTGGGTTCTCACGGGTTTGTGTGTGTCCCGTGAGCCAGGGCACAGGGCTCGGTGGCTTCTCTCCCCAAACACGGGCCTCTTGCCACTGGGCTACTTTGAGTCTTGGAGCTCCTTCGCCTTCTGCAGGATCTGGCAGACGTCTGTGATGGGGTAATCCTGGACACAGGAAAGGCCAACAATGGCCTCTGAAGCCAGCTCCCCCCCCGCCACACCCACACTCTCCCCACTGGGACCCGTCGCCATGCTGGATCCTGAGCCCCAGGGACAGGAGCGCGGAATACCAGGCATCCCACACTCCCCAACCCCTAGACCCCTGCTGGCAGCTGACGCTACACCATGCAGCACCAACTCAACCAATCCAAATACGACCACTCCCAGGATCTCGGCCCTTTCCTCAGGACCAGACCTTGCTGTCTCAGCTCTCCCACTACTGCCACTGAACCCGAACTCCTTCATGTGCAGCCAGGGTCTGGGCCAGGTAGTGTGAGTATCAGCTCGGAGTCCTCTACAGCCCTGTGAGTGGCTACTGTGATTCTGCCCATTTTCCAGATCTAGTCCATGAAGTTATAGAAAACCAACTTTAGGAGCCCGGGCACGGTGGCTCACACCTGTAATCCCAGCACTTTGGGAGGCTACGGTGGGCAGATCACATGAGGTCAGGAGTTCCACACCGGCCTGACCAATGTGGTGAAAACCCCATCTCTACTAAAGATAACAAAATTGGCTGGATTACACCTGTAATCCCAGCTACTTGGGAGGCTGAGGCAGGACAATTGCTTGAAGCCAAGAGGTAGTGGTTGCAGTGCCAGAGGTTTTTTTTTTTTT